GTAGGAATGGCCTTGGAAATTATTTTCAGCAACCTTTTTTTTTTTACAGAAGAGAAAACAAAGATTCAAAGAGGTTCAATGCTTTGCCCTAGGTCACACAGTTACAGTGCAAAGCCAGCACTTCTGACTTCCACTTCGGGGCTCTTAGTTGATGTTTCATCCCTGTTTCTTATAGCCATTTAATTTCTGCTCAATTTTGTTTTTTTAAACTGTAATTCAGGAGCAAGTGTATCATTTATGTAAGGTACTCTGTCTTCTCCTACCCTTGGCACCCATCCAAGGGAGGTATAATAGACAAACTTTTCTCAAAGATACCTTGGTCAGAAAGGTTGAGTTAACTCCCAGGAGGAAATGGAAACATATGACTTACAAATCAGCAGCTGCCAGGGAAATTTCTTCTATCAAGAACTTAATTCAGCATCTGTAATTAACCTCTTTCCAGTACCTCAGGAGTGTTTCACAGGTTTAGAAATGGAGACCAGTCATCCTATCAGTTGAGGCTGTGAATAAATTCTTATTGCTACATGGAGATTGGACCAAAGGAGATTGTACATACTTTTCTGAGTCCATTCAAACAAGAATTCAGAATAGATTCAATTGTGCATGTAGAAATTGGCCAACCCAACCATTCAAAAACTTAAGTAGAGATGGGAGGGGAGAGTAGCTGGGGAAGTAGTTATTTCTCTGTAGTAAAAACAGTGGGCCGGGCACAGTGGCTCATGCCTATAATCCCAGCACTTTGGGAAGCCAAGGCGGGTTTATTGCTTGAGCCCAGGAGTTCAAAACCAGCGTGTGCAATGTAGCAAGACACTGTCTCTACAAAAAAAAAAAAAAAATACAAAAATTAGCCAGGTGTGGCAGCGTATGCCTGTGGTCCCAGCTACTTGGGAGGCTGAAATTAGAGGATTGATTGAGCCCGGGAGGTTGAGGCTGCAGTGAGCTGTGATCGCACTAGTGCATTCCAGCCTGGGCAATGAGCAAGACCCTGTCTCCAAAGAAAACCAAAAAATGAAAACAAACAACCAAAATGGATTTAGTGTCAGAAAACCTAGGGTTTAACCAACACTAGATCTATGACCTTAAGAAAGTCTGTTAGTATCTCTGAGAATCAGTTTCTGCATTTGTGACATAAGGATAACACTTACCCCAAAGCTTGTAGAGAAAATAAAAATGAGATGAGATATATGCAAGCCCTTTGTAAACTGTAACAAACAATAAAGTCAGTAAGTGTATTGTCCTATCCTTTCAATGACCCTAGGAGGTGGTAAGACAGATATTACCCCATGTTGTCAGAGAGGTTAAGTGATTTACAAGCATACAGTGTTAGAGACTTTCTAAGCCATCATTGTTTACAAGGTAGAAACAAGGTTTAGAGAGGTTAAGTGATTTTCTCTAAGTCAAAAAGCTTGTTAACGTCAGAGCCAAGTCTAGAATCCTTGACCTTTCAAGACATTATTCTTTTCACGTTGACTTACATGATATGAAGAAAGGTTAGCCAGCTAATGCAATAGGTTATTAGCTAACTAACACTAGGGTTCTGCTGGCATTTCTCTTGACTTTAGTGGCACCATCTGAGAATAGTGTATTTATATTTCTAGAAGAACATGAGAATTTTACACCTAGTAGTTTCAAGAAATAGCCTTAGATGATTGTCTCGTTCCTACTTACAATGTGGCTGCATAATAAAGCATAGCCTCTCCTAAAGCCAGCAAATGGTTGTCTGTCCTATAGAAATTTACACATAAATCTTATTCATAAAATTGCTAGTAGCACTTTGTCCTAAGCATTCTAAACATTATAAATCATCATTCTTATTTGATAATAAACCACATCTTTGACCAAAATTTCAGCATTTGTTTTTATTTGTTATACTTTTCTCTACATGAACAACACTTCCAAAAGAAAATATAGCAAAGGGGCATTTAAACAGATTTCTAAAGCAAAAAAGTATTTAAATTTGTCCTCTGCAGTTGAGGCTTTTCTTTACTACTGTGGCTTAATATTTATGTTAAATGCTAAACATGAGACTGCACAGGGTTTTCAGGGATGCTCTGAAAAGTGGAGAAATCATGATCATAAAAATTTTGAACTCAGAAAAAATGCTGATGTAAATGTTAGGCGGTTTGGTAATGACAGTGAGGATCTTGTTTGTTGACTCCTGTGGCTCCTCCATGGAAGCAGGCTCAAGGCCCCATCAAGTTGGATTTCACGATCATCGCCGAAACCAGATCGGGTGAATGGCGGATTTAGGAGTTAGAGAATGGAAATGAATGAGAATATGCATCTTTTCCATTAACCCACACAATTTTCAGGATTAGGAAATCAGTGTTTGTAAACCATGTTGGAATCCTTGGATAGCAGATAATAGATAATTTTGATGGAGAAGTATTGCTGGTAATGGAAGCTTAATATAATCTGCAGTAACGCCAGGGAATGGTCCACATTTGGATGTACTTTAGATTCTTCCCAAGCATTTTATTGACTTTGGGCACAGAGTAATCCTCAAGCCCATCTGGAAGATGAGAAACCAGGGCCTGCAAACTAGTTTATAAGCTCCGTCCTGTCGCTTAGGTGTCTCCTCATGCCTTTGCGGTACTCACCAGGCACAGACAAAGGCTGGTCTTCCTGCAAGCAGCACTTTCCTTACCACAAATAAAGAAGAGACGAGAAAGAAAAAGGAAGGAGAAAAAAGAAGAAAGAAAGGGAAGAAGGAAGAAAAAGAAGCATACAACCCACCTTTCTTTGTCTCATTTGCCTAGAAAAGTATAGTACATTTTTTTCTCCTGGGCCTATATTTAAATGGTAGATAGATATATCAGTCACTCAATCAAATGATAGATGGATGGTTGCTAAAATATTTCTGAAGGTTTTAATCAGTTTGCATCTTGTTTTAATAAAGCCCAGCTAAACACTGTATTTGTTGACCGCTCTTTGACCAGTTATATTGACCCTGTGACAGACCATATGATCAAAGATTTCTATAGTCTCATTCACTGTCATCTAATTAGAAAGAACTCTAGCCATCAGTTAAAAGGGAGGGAAGAGTCAAACACATTCATAGCCCTCTTACCTCAGCCCAGTATAAGAAACCTAGTTTCTATGTCAGGGAACCGATCTTATTCCCTCATGTGTAAGATCCTGTTTAACAGATTACTTCACCAGCCCGTAATGAAAGCAACCTGCCTGGCACCTTCTCAGAACTTTCCACTCTTGACTACAAACAGTTCCTGCCATGACCATTGTCAAATCAGTCAGGGCCTCCCTGGAGCGTGCTTGCACGGAAGGATTATGCAAGGTCTCTCCACATCTGTGCCAATCCTACCACTGAACCCATGGATGACCTTAGTCAAGCCTATGCTGAAGCCAGAAATTTCCTGTCCGGAGCAATTTCTAACAACTGAGCTGCTTTTAGTTTCAGTTTTTATTTGGTACCTTTTCACTCTATTGATAGCAAACTATACTAAGAATGATTTTTTTTTTCTTATATGGAATGTGTTACATCATTAGAAATCATTTATTGTCAACCTTTTTAATGCATTGATAAATTTCCTTCACTATTCTTTTATATTTAAACCAGGCACAGAATAATCTCCCACCATCTCACCCCTACCGATGGCCCCACTCTGGGCCTCTTCTGACCATGGCCCTCACATGAGGCGAAGTGTCTATGGGGCCAAAGGGCCTTTAAAGCCTGTTTCTAGATCATGCTCCTGGTACCTGGGATCCGCAACTATCCTCATCAAATGACCCCAAGCCGACTTTCAGGTCCTGCGTGGGCCTCTTTCCTAAGTCCATCTTCCTAGGACAGACTGGCCAATTGTGTGAGCACCCCAAGGTCTGAGAGGTGGGCAAGGGGTAACTGTTGGTTATGATGGAGTGATGGAGTGTGGATGTGAGCACTGGGTGTCCACACACATGCATTTGAGGTACCTTCATGAGGTGGGACAGAGCCAGCCATGAAAAGAGAAGGGCATGGGCTATGGGCCAGGGGCCAGTACAGCCCATGTGACCGTGTTCTAGCACAGAACTTCCAGGAACCCAAGTATTTGAAATTTGGCCCTAGCTTTCCAGGTTATTATAACATATATTTTATCAAAGTAGGAGGACAGAACGTATTTTATTTAACAGTTGGTAGCTTGATGTGTAGCTTTTACATATTTAACATCATACATGGGCCTCCATTTATTCCATCCTGGGGATAACTGTTAGGTCTTCACCCCTAGCCACATCTCCCTCCCGGGCACAAGTTCACTGTATCTATAATGGGACTCATCTTCCCCAAGAAACCCTTCTTCTCACTTCCTATTTTTGCATAATAACAATTTCAACCAAATTTTTTGTTTCTTTCCATTTAAAACACAGCAGTTTCAGTGATGTTATGGATTGTTTTTGTCAGCTAGCATGGCCTAACCACCACTTATCCCATGATTGCTGAGGGGGGGGGAATGCATTCCAGCTTCAAACAGCTTATTTGTAGAAGAATGTAGCCCACATGCAAGGGGAAAGCTTCTTATTGCCCCAACTTAATTGCAAACTCTCTTACAGCATTTGTGCAATAAACATGCTAGGCACCTCTTAGATTCTAGAAATTCAAAGAGAAATAAGCTGTGGCCTCACCTTCAAATAACTCACCATTTTAAAAGGAGCATACATGAAAAGAAATAACTGCATTGCTCTACAACACCTAGAGTATGTGCAACTCAAAGTTGGAAGGAACTACCTCACCCCAGTTATAGTTTATCTCAGACCCCAGACTTTTTTCCAGACTCTGTGAAAGGCTTGCACCTGACTCCCCGCTCTAGCCTTTCTCAGTAGACAGGAGTTTCTCATGTACATAGTGAGACTAGGGAATTAAACACACATCTGTCTCACTGCATTTCTTTATGGCCATATGTTGAGCAACTTTGGACAATAACAGTTCAAAGAGTTGAACATTAAAGATCTAATGACTCTTCTTTTGTGGAGAAAAGTTTATAACTTTCTGGTTCTCTTGCATGTAGTATGACATCGTTGGACACTCTGGAGATGGCTACAACATTGGCCTGGTTCCAATTCACAAAATCCCCAAGGACAATAAGCAAAGACTAGAAATTCTGAAGGTAAATGTATTTTATTGCCTCTGTATTATGAAAGCTTCTATCAAATTAGGTAAAGACAAAAGATTCATTGAAGAAGCAGTAGATATACAGCAAAGAAAAAAACTGTTTCACAAACATTCAAACGTTGAACGGAGAAAACACCCATCATGCCTAAAATCCTTTTCTCCACCATATAAAATTTAAAATTTGTTCCTTACATATTTTTAGGGCACTTGGTATTAGATTGGGATTCTACAACCTAGGCTCCCTTGTATGTCCTATACGGCTCTTCTCAGCCCCTACATGTGCAGTAGAAGGAAAAGAATGACCCCTTTTTAAATTTGTTTGTTTATTTCAATCGTTTTTGGGGTACAGGTGGTTTTTGGTTATATGGATGAGTTCTTTAGTGGTGAATTTTGAGATAGTGTACCTGTCACCCGAGCAGTGTACTCTGTACCCCATATGTAGTCTTTTATCCCTCACCCCGCTGAGAACCTCCCCAACCTTAGTCCCCAGAGTCCATTATATCACTCTTATGTCTTTGTGTCCTCATAGCTTAGCTCCCACCTATAAGTGAGAACATACAGTATTTGGTTTTCCATTCCTGAGTTACTTCACTTAGAATAATGGCCTCCAGCTCCATCCAAATTGCTGCAAATGCCATTATTTTATTCAATTTTATGGCTGAGTAGTATTCCATGGTGTATATATACCACATTTTCTTTATCACTCATTGGTTGACAGACACTTAGGTTGGTTCCATATCATTGCAATTGCTAATTGTGCTGCTATAAACATGTGTGTGCCTGTGTCTTTTTCATATTAATATAATGACTTCTTTTCCTTTGGGTAGATACCCATTAATGGGATTGCTGGATTGAATGGTAGACCTGCTTTAGTTCTTTTAAGGCCTCTCCATACTGTTTTCCACAGTGGTTGTACTAATTTACATTCCCACCAGCAGTGTAAATGTTTCCTTTTCAGCAATCCACGCCAACATATATTAATTTTTGACCTTTTAATTTTGGCCATTCTTGCAGGTGTAAGATACCACCGTATCTCATTATGGTTTTAATTTGCATTTCCCTGATTATTAGTGATATTGAACATTTTTTCATGTTTGTTGTCTGTTTGCATACCTTCTTTTGAGAAATGACTCTTAACATCTTCTGCCGATTTTTTGATGGGATTGTTTGTTTTTTTCTTGCTGATTAGTTTGAGTTCCTCATAGATTCTGGATACTAGTATTTTGTCAGATACATAGTTTGTGAAGATTTTCTCCCACTGTGTAGGTTGTCTGTTTACTCTGCTGATTATTTCTTTTGCTGTGCGAAGGTTTTAGTTTAATTAGGTCCCATTTATTAATTTTTGTTTTGTTGCATTTGCTTTTGAGGTCTTAGTCATGAATTGTTTGCCTAAGCCAATGTCCAGAAGAGTTTTCCCAGTGTTATCTTCTAAAATTTTTATGGTTTCAGGTCTAAGATTTAAGTCTTTGATTTATCTTGAGTTGATTTTGTATAAGTTGATTTGTATGAGAGGTGGTTGTACTAATTTACATTCCCACCAGCAGTGTTTCATTCTTCTACATGTGGCTTGCCAGCTTTCCCAGCAACATTTATTGAATAGGGTGTCCTTTCCTCAATTTATGTTTTTGTATGCTTTGTCAAAGATCAATTGGCTGTATTTGGCTTTATTTCTGCATTCTCTATTCTGTCTCATTGGTCGTGCCTATTTTTATACCAGTACCATGCTGTTTTGGTAACTGTAGCCTTAGTATAATTTAAAGCCCTGTAATGTGATGCCTCCAGATTTGTTGCTTTTACTTAGTATTGCTTTGGCTATCTGGGCTCTTTTTTGGTTCCACATGAATTTTAGGATTGTTTTTTCTAGTTCTTTGAAAAATAATGATGGTTTTTTGACGGGAATTACATTGAACCTGTGGATTGCTTTGGGCCGTATGGTCATTTTCACAATATTGATTCTCCTCATCTATGAACATTGGATGTGTTTCCATTTGTTTGTGTCATCTGTGATTTCTTTCATCAGTGTTTTGTAGTTTTTCTTGTAGAGCTCTTTTACCTCCTTGGTTAAGTATATTCCTCGGGTTTTGTGTGTGTGCAACTATTGTAAAAGAGATTGAGTTCTTGATTCTCAGCTTGGTCATTGTTGGCATATAGCAGTGTTACTGATTCGTGTATATTGATTTTGTAGCCTGAGACTTTACTGAATTCATTTATCAGATTTTAGGGTTTTCTAGATATACAATCATATCATTGGTGAGCAGAATGACCGCTTTTAGAGTGCTCTCTGTCCCCAGTTTTTTGTATAATTGATTTCACACAATTAAGCCTGCAATAGAAAAATACATATCACGATTATAAGTAAATTTCCTCCGTCGTTATTGATATGAGTACAATGTTTTTAGTATTGTAACTTTGTTTATTGGAAACTCAGCTCATTCCTTATTTTCCTCCTGTGTCATCTGCATCCTCCAATGTGATACCAAGTTTAATATTTTCTTGTTTTCTCACTTTAAGTGGAAGCTTACATTTTAAAACTAAGTGCCCACTGTGATAGTTTTGGAATGATTCCTATATCTAATGAAATTCTATGCCGGATACAAATATCACTGTATACTGTTGTCACTCAAATATGCAAATTAAATAGAACTAACTTAGAACGTGGGTAATAATTGGTATGTATGCATGCTCATGGTCAATAGAAAAATAATCATCTTTGTTTAAAAAGAAGTTTCTCACCATGGCTTTTGTGCAACTTCTCTTACCTCCAGACAATGCATGCCCACTCTCAGTTCTGCATGAGTGGGGACCACACGTTAGAAGGGACAGAACATGCCATCAAGGAAATTGTCAAAGAAGAAGCTGATGAGTACTTTGTCATAGTCTTGAGTGATGCAAATCTGTCACGATATGGAATACATCCTGCTAAGTTTGCTCAAATCCTCACAAGTGACCCTCAAGTAAATGCTTTTGCCATTTTTATTGGTTCTTTAGGTGATCAAGCAACGAGGTAAGTGTCATCTGAGCATACAGAAAAGGGCAGGTACAGAGATACTGAATAGCTAACACATGCTGTTTTATAGGCTTAGCACCATGAGGGACAGTGAGGCAGATGGAGGAAAAACAGAAACTAGAGTTGCTAGCCTCGAGGGGTTTATAATCTAGTGGAGGGGATATGTTCTAGCTTTTGTTTGAATGAACAATAATAATTTTAAATTAATTATTTTTTAGTTTATATTTAAACCAATAATAAATCATTGACACATTGATTTTTCACTAATAAATGGGGTAGTATTTTATACATTTGGCATTTTATATCAAGGTCCTAAGCCCAGGCTAATCATTTTGTGTTCAAATCATATTAAAAATCATGAACATCTATTTTCCTAGCATCGAAGATAGTGTGTGTATATGAATGTCTATACATATATATACACACATATGTATTATATCCCCATAGAGACATCGCCTACATATATGCATGCCTGTGTATATATAGACACACTCACATATATCCCTTCCTACTGCTGGAGAGACAAGGCAGGTGAAACACTTGGCGACAACGTAAGATAATATACATATAGTTAGATACTACACTGAATATACTGAATATTCAATAGAGAATCTTATGATCAGACAATAAATACCAGTGGGTATGATCTGAAAGGAGGATCTGGAAACACTTTCATAACTTGAGCACACTAACATTTATCTTTTTGAATTACAAACAGAAAGAGCTCATGGTTTTTTTCTGTGTTTAAAATACCTGTAAGAAACACAAAACACCAGTGAAAGTAAATCTTAAAAAAAAAAAAAAATTCCTGCCTAAAGCACAAAGGGCCTACCTTTTTGTTATTCCACCCCTTTTACTTGTCATACTCTGTGATTGGAAATGTTTTAGTATCCAAAGTGCTAGCATCTTTTTCTCTTTCTATTCCCTTTGCCTTGCTGCAAGGCTGCAGAGTGAGGTTGAGAACAGACTTAATATCATGTCGTTACAGTCATTTGATGACATGACTTTGCTTTCTTCGTAGTTTTTACAAGTCAGCGCTTTGCATCTTTTAGAACCTCCACATCCTCAAACACAAACTATGCCTTTTCCACCCAGATTTTCCTCAGCATCAGCCCACTATTAGGCAGACAACAAGCTCAACAAATACTAGCTGAGATGAAATGGCTATTTTGTCTTTCTAGTGAACAGATCCTGTTTGAATACTTAAGAAAGCACAATAATACCCTTGTGGTTTCCTAGGGAAATGGTCCAACATCCACTGGCAAAAGATATGTAGCAGAATTAGCTGGCTTACCAGGCATGCCAAATATACGATACTGCAGGATGGTTGAATTTTATTAAATGTCATTCCAAAGCCAGACTTCCTGGCACAGTGAAAGGAGGCGTTCTTTTGAAGAGAACTGTGTCTTACAGTTTTGTTGCCTTCAAAATGGCCTTTTGTTCCAAATGATAAATTAGTATTTAAAAAATTATCGTAACTTCAATGACAAGTTATTTTTAAGGATAATTCAAATCAAAACCCATTATAAGTTTTTTAAAATTTACTTAAAAATGAGTTGGAAAACATTTCATAAGCCTGTATAACCTCAGTGTCATTGAAGCAATAATTGGACAATCCAGATCGCATTTCACATTGTGTGATGTGGACCAAAAAAAAAAGAGAGAGAGGCAAAGAAAGAGAGAAAGAACCACTCAGGGTTTGCCTCGGCAGCGTTTTTAGAGGCCTGTTTTCTAAGGAAGGAAAAGCATTAGCAATACAGTGTGAGGTCAGCATATTGACTAGACCCAGGAGGTGAGATGATCCCAGATGAATCCCTAGGGCTCTGTTCTACCAAGAGAATATGAAATACCAAGAAACGGCAGTAAAGAAAGGAAGAAAATTTTTTCTCTTCAAATTTGCCAGCTTTCTCACTGAAAAGACCTTCCTTTCAGTTCCCTGCTTTTGCTGTGTCTTTCCTTGTTGCTCTTCCAAGCCTTTCATTGCTTAATGACAATGAATTCAGTGGTAGGCAGAGAGCAAGATAGGAGAAAGTAAAAACTTCCTGTCCTAAGAAACCATTAGGAGGCTGTGGTTTGCCAGGGCAGGAGGTGGAAGGGAGCACCATTTACAGGGGTAACTTTCTTACCCTTTCCATCCTGGCAGGCTGCAGAGAACTTTACCAGCTGGTCGGTCTTTCGTTGCCATGGATACCAAGGACATCCCTCAGATTTTACAACAGATCTTCACCTCCACCATGTTGTCGAGTGTCTAAGAAGTGCTCTTCATCACCCTGATGACAGCAGGATTTGAAATAAGACAGGAATAAGGAGTATTCTGAAAAAGAGATACGGATGAAGTGAACCCATGCAGTGACTGGATGATTCCGGCATTCCTGGGTCTTCCTACACTTGTTCAGTAATGAGAATTCAGAAAAGCAGCCAGAGGGAGGCTTGAACATGGAAAGATGTTCCACTGATGAGTTCAGAAGCTCAAGCTAGTTGGCCCGCACTTTATCAAAGGTTGGGGTTAGAGGAAGGTGGTTTTGAGAACTATGTGTTTGGTCTATTTCCAAAAACCTGAGGGGGAAAAAATACTTTGTTTTTGCCTTAACACATCATCTGGTCACCTAAGATAAGAAAAGCAACCCCATCAAGCCGAGCCTTTGGTGTGACATTCTGACATAAGATGCAAAACCCACCAAAATGCTCCTATCCAATAATTATTTTTTATTTTCTCCCTGTTCTGCATTGACCAGAAAACAATGATTTTATAATATTTAACCCACCAAAAAGTCCCTCCAACAGCAATATTTTATGAAAGGTTGGCTGTTCTCAATAATTTCATTTTCTTGGCCAAAGTCAAAAGGAATCAAAAAATCCTTGGAGTGCTTGCCTTTCCATGTGACTTTTAAAAGGCTCTTAAATAATAAAGAGCAAATGTCCTCTTCTTCTTGCTGCTACAGTGGGAGGAGAAAGATGTCTTGCCTTAAAAGTTTACTGTTTCTTCTGTTCTTCTAGCGTCTCTCAAAAAATTCACAGTACTCCATTTTGAGGTGCAAACTGGTAATGCTCAAAATAATAAATGTTTATAAGAAAATTCTTTATTGAGAACATTCATACAAAAATTACCTAAAGCAAAGTAAAAAAAGTAAAATCAAGGTGGTATATTTGAAGTGAATGGTGATTGGAGATTTCTTTAGCTGTAACAAACAAACAAAAAGAAAGAAAACAACTTTTTTTAAAGCCTCATTCTTTTTTCTGTCAAAATGTACCTTATTCCCACACACTCTTGGACTGACCTTTGTTTTATCAATAGGCTCAATATCACTTTGTTTAAAATCAAATGCTTCAGCGGAAGTCATTCTCTCTTTAACCGTATAATGTCAAAACTCCTCTTCACCATTGATAGCAAAATCAGAAACTTTAGGGCACCAGTGAATTGAAAAAACTGGTCTTAAATTGGAAAAGCTAATCTTATTAATAATATTATCCTGTCCATCCATATATTTTGAAATTGTACAGGTCCATAATTTCATTTTAATTAACTATAGGAGAGAAGAGAAGATAATACCCATTTGTTCCATCACCCCCTCTCGCTGTCATTAACTATTAAATAAATAAAAGCTATCTGCTTTCCAGCGCAGTACTACCTGGTGAGTTTGCATGGTTTTCTTGTTGCTCTAGTCAGACGCCTGCCCCATATATTGAACCATTCAATGATGCGAACAATTTCAATCCAGTATGTTTCTTTAAAAATGTAATTGCATTCCAATAGTCATCACAACAGCAGCTGGCGTTTACTGATTATTTACTGTGAACCAGGTATATGCTAAGTGATTTCATACATTATTTCATTCATCCTCACAACAATGCATGTAACAGAGGTATTTTTGACCTTATTTTACAGATAAAGAAAGTGAGGCTCAGAGAACTTAGGTCACTTTCCCAAGATTCCTGTTACTAGACCTTTCACTAACTATTCGTGGTACCATTAACATCCTCATTTTACAAGTAAAGAAACTGAGGCTTAGAGAAGCTCAAGAAAATAGGCCACGCTCATAGCCAGGCAGGGGCAAAGCTGGGCCTCCAGCCTCCAGGCCCCTTAATGCATGTGCATCCCTCATAGTCCCACGCCTCTTGCTGCGTCTCACAAATGTACGTGTCACACTCCTGCTGCCTTTTTCTCTTCCTTCCAGTGTGGCTTCTCTTCTTGTACCCTGTCCACATTCACAGAGCTCTCTTCCTCTCACTTTCCTGAGAAAGTCTATCTGCCCATATTCGAGCACTCAGAGGTGTGGGGACCGAGGACGTGGGACACTGTCAGGGGAACACTTCTAACTGCTCCTTCCTTGCTAGGCACAGCAGCGATCTGAGGAAGTGCCCTTCCAAGTGGCAGCTTAACCCCAAGGAATGCCCCTTAGCTAGCGGGTCACTGCCCCTGAAAGCCTTTGGAAGTGGAATCCAAGGGAGATTAAAGGAACAGCCAACCTTTTAACAAATCCTCCCCATGCATAACTACCTGAGGAAGCAGAAGCCATTTTTTTTGACATGGAAAGAATGTTCTCAAGTAATTTAATTTACCTTTCTCAATCAGCCAGACATCCTCTGCAATTGTTATTTTTTAAAAAAGCACAGAACTCCTGGCTTTTCTGATTTCTGAAGGGGAAGGATGATGGGGAAGGGGAATTGAGACTGAGAAGATGAAGAGCTTATTTTCACTTCTTGCAATACCTAAGAAGTGTGTGCATTTATTATTAAATGTACTTAATTATAGACCACTCCAAGCTGTTCCCAGGCCCTTCTTAGGGCCAGGACATTATAATAAATGCATTGTGTGCCTCAGGGGGTTCCATTGAAAGGCATCTAACCCCTGTCTCCTTAGTAAGCACATGTAATGCTGAGAAGGTTCATTGTTCCCGTGAGCAGCCAGGAGGAATGAATGCTGTGAATAGCTGCAGTATATGATGCATATTCCCCCCAGAATCCTTTGTGTGCCCGACAAAATGACCTCATCACAGATGGAGAGGCTCAGCACAGCCGTAAGAAGTGGATCAGAGGGGGAGTACTTGAAGGGAACCCATCAGATGTTTGGAATGAACCACTTAATTCTTTATACTACACTCTTTCCTGTGAACTGTCAGAGGAGGAGAAATCCATCAATGCGGGCAAGATTTTCTCTAAACAAACTCTTGGGCTTTGAAAGCCGTTTGGAAGTGGTTTTCAGTAGACAGCATTGCCATTGTTTCTGAAAGACCAACCCTGGAGGCTTCCACCCTCCCTCCACCTGGCTCCTTCCTGTGCCTGTCAGATCAGGCACAATTAAATTTCTAAGTGAATAAAGCTGGGAGAAACAGACAAGGGGAGCAACAGGAATAGTGGCTTATTTGTTGCATTTCAATTTGCTTCCAATGATCACAATTATAAGAGATATTCCACAAATTCTAAGCCAGCCTTTCCTGCCTGGACAACTTGTTTCTGGAATTACATCTTAGGAATAATCAAATGTCGACTTATATTTAATATATTGTACATAGCTTTTTAATCTTATAAAGAAATAAAATGTCTACTTTTATCATTTTTTTTTACAACCAGTGACATAAATGGCTTTTAAAAATACTTAAGTCCAATTTCTGGTCAGGATTATATCATAAGGTTCTTTTTGCTTTTTTTCTTCTTTTTTTTTTTTTTTTTTTTTTTGAGATAGGACCTTGCTCTGTCACTCAGGCTGGAATGCAGTGGCACAATCATAGCTCACTGAAGCCTCAACCTCCTGGGGTCAAGAGATCTTCCTGCCTTAACCACCTGAGTAGGTGGAACTACTGGTGCGTGCCACCATGCCCAACTAATTTTTTTTTCTGGTAGGGACGGGGTTTCACCATGTTGCCGAGGCTGGTCTCAAACTCCTAGCCTCAAGCAATCCTCCCACCTTGGCCTCCCAAAGTGCTGGGATTACAAGTATGAGCCCCTGCACCCAGCCATGAAAACCTATTGCCTTTTCTTTACTTTTGTTCTAAGACTTGCTATGGCAAAGGTACTACAGGTAATGGAAAGGAATTCCAATGTTCCAGCTTATCATGGGAGTAATTGCAAACTCTAGGTAGAATTTGTCTGTGGAAAGGAAGTTCTAGACCTGCTCGGCTATTAAGTACCTGTGTAAACTTGGGCTAATCACTTCTGGGTCTCAATTGAATTAAACCTATGATTTAAAGGGGTTGGACATGAAAATCCACTGCTCCATTATCTCAAACAGGAAATTGACTTGGTTCCTCGTATAATTTACAAGAGCCACACACTTCAGTGCAACTTTTGTCTCCAAAACCCCACACATGCAAAAGATAATCTATCTCCCAGCATACTGAGGATTTTGGCACCTATATCAACTGCCTTAAAATAATGTTACTGACTGAATATGCATACTGAAAGTTATATAAACACCATTAAAACTGAACAAAGGAGGCTTTCCCTCATCGGTTGAACAGATTCTTTCTGTTTGATAGTTATTTACAAGATTTCTCCCTATTGTCTCATGCTTTGCACTTGGCTGCCTTAAGATAAAATTACATGTCTGCTGATGGGCACATTGAGAATCAAAAAGGATCAGGAATTGGAAAACTACTGTGTGCCAAGAGCTGACCTTTGTTCTGCAGCTGAACAATGAGTGTGTGTGTGTGTGAGAGAGAGTGTGTGTGTGTGTGTGTGTGTGAAATCCTGTAAACAAAATTTCCTCCAGAGGGTAAAAAATGCTTGCCAAGCAAACATCTCAAGTTGAGAATGACATGACAACTCTTTTTTGAGAGCTAAGCACTGCCTGGGGCTTTTGCCTTCAGAGACCACATCTGTTCTTGCATGGTGGTGCACGTTGGCTTTGGAATACCAAGGCTACATAATTTTAAAATCAAGTGGTACTTGTGGTATTTGGCCACTCAGAGCAAAGTATAACACTCTTTTAAAGTGGTTTGGATCCCAGGGGTGGGAAGAACGTCATGTTCTGCTGTAAGAAATCTCACCAAGGAGACATGTAAACTCGAAGGAATGTCAGCGACTTCTCAAGATTCCCCTCTTCCACAGGTGCCAGAGACTTGGAGTCTTCCCTCTTTTTCAAAGGCTTCAGTGGATGTACTTTGGGGCTGCTGGCTCCTTCCCTGAAGGAACAATCAGAGTGTGTGAATAAATTCACACTCCAAAGATAGTGGGTGTGATCACAGAGGCGTTTCAGAATATAGGAATGTATTAGCTGAAGCATTAGGTCATGGTTGCTGGGGTTTGACCTGGAAATGGAAGAGAACAATCTCTCTGAACATCCTAAAGCAAGTTTACTCCTTATGCAGGCCAGAATATGGCAAGAAAATAATGAACCTGTCAAGATTACTTTGTGTAATTGGTCTCATGACATCATGGCTGTACATGAAGGCTCCCTGATTGAAACTTGAAGAAAAATAAGTATATTTACTCAGAGAGGACATTAAAGTTGGATTTTTCAAGTGCAATGTATTTATATTAATAAATACTGCTGCTAATTTCATGAGACTGACCATTCCTTTATTCCAGCGCTAATTAAGTCTTTCATCATCGGGACTGCAGAAACAGAGCGAGTCTCGACAAAGCTAGTTGATCCATTTCGTTTTACAAAAGATGTTATGGCCCATATGAAATTCAGCCCTAAAAATGGCCTAGAAAGGAACACTTGCAGCCCCAACAGAAATCAAATAGCAAAGCTGGGGAAGCAGCCTGATTGACTTGGCCTTGGCCTTACCTCCTAGGGGTGCCTCCTACAGAGCCTGGGGCTGCTGGGGAGTCCAAGGGCCTCTGCAACAAGGCGGATGCTCAGATCTAGGGTGTCACACACAAAAAAAGAACAGATGACAGGGGCTACTGGGGAAGGCCAGGGTTTAGTTAATGGATTCATGGGTTGAATAATAAAATTGTCTATTTGGCAGTTGGCAAAGAGAGAATATTTAACTGAAAAGTTTCCTTCAGGGCTTCAGTGCTTGAGCAGCCATTTTCAAGGCTGATAGAATATGCATGTCTGTACATTGCAGGCTCAAGTACAAAGATTTGATATTAAATATGGAACGCCAGAACTGAAGAATCCCTTTTTGGATGACCTTTCGTGGCGACTGGAAGAAACGGGCATACTCTGCAGAGGTGGAAGATTGTAGCAGCTCCACAAAACCGCATGAAAGCAGATATTCAGTCACTTGGCTGGAATGCAGCTCCACACAGCTGGTCTGGCGCCGTGCCCCACAGCATCTGAAGTCTATCTGTACACTGGTGTTTCCCTGCAACAGGGGCTTCTCTTTTCAACTACAAGTATCCCTGAGAGGCTACCATCATGCACCCCTTGGTTTGAATTCTTTCATTCCCATGCTTTCCTCCTAACCCCCACTGGTAGGAAGGTCCTTAGACAGAGCGTCTCTGATGGGTTGAGGAGGTACAATTCGCTGGGGGCATTTGCAGCTTGGAGCATTACCCAAGCAGAGGACCCAGACCTGGGACACAACACAAGGGCAGGAGACATGGGCACCTCGGGTGACATTCTTGCCTGGGGCATATATTCTGCTGTCAGGCCTCCTGAGAGCACTCACTGAAGGCTGTGTTGGGTTTGAATGGCAGTGCCTTGGTGCTCCTTGGTCTTGTTTCTGCAGAGAC